TAGTGGTAGAATTATTCAAATTGGTAATCTCCGCCGATTTTTACTATGAAATTTATATCCTTCAACTGTGATCTACCACTTAAACAATCATAAAAGCATTCAGAGAACGTCTAGATTCACTTGTAAAAGTTCGCTTATTACTAGTAATAGTTAAAATAGATAAATCCTACCTTAAAAGAGGATTAAGACTTTAAAAGTTCTAACTCTTTTAAGAAATTTCATTTGACGTGTTTTTAATAATAAACTTAATACTATTATCTAATATTAAAGTTACATCGCTATAAGTAGACGTACGATAAGTGGAAATTGACAAGAATATAATACAATTATTATTCAAAATATAAGTTTCGCTAATATGTATTAAAGAATTTATCGTTACCGTTACGTTAGGGTATTCAATTGACTAATTAATCAAAACATAGTCAGGGTACATAATGTAGATCACTAATTGCGGATTTTTTAACGGGATTTGAAAATCGCATCGATAATAATCATATTTATTACAAAAAAATATCGAAAATTAAAATTACTTTTTCTCAACAACGACCTAATTAATACCAAGCAGTTTTTTTTTACTTGAAAGCTCTCGTTATTCTCTTTCATATAATAGAGCCCTTTTTAATAATTTAATAGTTTTTATTCATTGCTTTTATATGATAAGTTGTATGTAATAATTTTATACTTTTATTCTTAAAAAGATTTAAACTATAGGAATTTTTTAATATGAATCAATTACAGTAGAAATGGCTCTATTACGTGAAAGAAAAAGAAGAGAGCTACCAAATAAAAAAAAATACTGCATAAAATAATCAGACAAATGTCAAGAAAAAGTAATTTAAAATTTCTATTTTTTTCTTATAATTGTCAAATCGATCAAAAATTGAAGCATTAAATTACTTTTTCTTGGCATTTATCTAATTATTTTGCACAGTATTTTTTTTTATCAAGTAGTTCTTATCATTCTCCTTAATGTAATAGAGTTACTTTTAATCAATTTATAAATTAATTACAATAAATATTAATAAATTGAGCAATAAATTTGGTTTAAATTATTATATCCGTGTAATATGTTCTGCATCATACAGTATGTTAAACTTCATATACACTACTAAGACTATATATGGGATAAAACTTAAAAGAGAATATGCATTTATAGAATGTATTTTCATTTGAGTTATATAATATTTGTGATGCATTTATGGATATATTTTGATCGGAGTTATATATACAGTAAAACATCCCTAAATGCATTCTCTATCACTAATAGTGCATACCCTCCCTAAATGCGCACTTAATTCTGGCCTAAATATATATGTGGCCTCTGTAAATACACCTTTTTCTTATTGTTCTCTTAAGGTACATTGTTAAAAGTCAATCCTGAGAATGTGTGCCCATGGAGGTTTTACTGTACTTGGAATTAAAATCACAAAATATATATTTATATAGTTCTCGCGTTATAATCTATGCATTGTTTTTGTAATAACCAAATTTGTACATAAATAAATAAATAAATAAATATAATCTTTATTTTCAATATTTTTAGTAAAGAACTTTCAAAATGACTAGAACTTTAAATAAATCACAAAATTTAAAACAACGAAAGCATCTCCTCAATGCACGTTTGAATAAAGCATTTATTGCTTACAAAGACCAAATTTCGAATAGATCTATTTACTATAGAAAACAAATAAATATTATCTTAGAACAGGCTTGCAAATTGTCAGATACATCAATAATAGCATTAGCTGAAATTACTATGAAATTAACAAACGATCAAACCTCTGAACAGAATATATTCAATAATCGGAAACAAGTATTAAAAATGGCTCTAAATATAGAAAATGAAGAATTAGAATTAGCAAATACATTTTTAGCTTATATGTATAACTCAGAAGAATCACAATTATTAAATAATCAAAATCGAAAACAAGTATTGCAAACGGTTCTAAATTTAGAAAATAAAAATTTAGAATTAGTAAATACATTCTTAACTAATATACATAACTCTGAGAAATTACAATTAATAAATACTTTCATAGATACTATATATGATTCTGAGAGATCACGCATATCTAATAATCGATACCAGCTACTAGAAATGATTCTAAATATGAATAATGAAGAAATAGAATTAGTGAGTTCTCTTTTTACAAATATGCGCTATTCAAAAGGACCAAATGCTGGAAAGATCTTATCTAAGTATTTGCAACAAAAAGCAAAACAATATATCGAATCTACTTTTTGTCATAATTCTATAGATTCAGCGCATCTTTTAAAAGAAAATCGAATACTTTCTAAACAAGTTAACAATTTGCAAACAAAAATTAGATCATTAGATGGAAGACTAGGAAAACAACAACAAATACGAAAATTACAAATCTCAAGTATTCGATCAGCTGCCCGAAAGCCCTTACCTGCTACTAAAAATCAATTAAAAGCTGCAATTCATAATATGCTGATTGAAAAAGGAACTGAGTATAGTGCCAAAGCTGTTGTAATGGCAACACAAATTTGTCAAATTGGACAAATGAGCTACCAATCTGCTGTTAAATGTTCTAAAAAAGTAATTGAATGGTTGCTCGATGAAGAACCAGATAAATGGTTTACAGTTAGTACGCTTGTCGGATGGCATAAAGATATAGCAGAAATTAATTTAATAAAACAATGTGCAGCAGCAAAACAATCAAAATTTTTTACCTTCGGAGTTATGGCTGATGAGTCCACACGGGGTGATTCTAAAGTATTCGTAATATGCTTTATGTACTGGGACCTAGATGCAAATGCTCCTAAAGTATCTTTGCTAGAATTACAAAACCTTAATCAATGCACTGGCATATCAATTTCGAATGCTGTATTTGAATCTTGTATTTGATATAACCTTAATACTCAAGCATGTAGAACATGGTTGACTGATAATACAGCATATATGTCAGGGCATTTGAATGGTGCTGTTATATTATTTAACAAATTAACAAATTCACACTCATTTCGTATTGCCTGTGGATTGTATTCAACACATATAATGATGGTAAATTTTGAAGACAATGCATTCGGAAAGCTAAAAGTAAATACAGGATTCTCAAATCAAAAACATCCATATAATTTAACTTATCTTGTTTGGCAACTTCATGATGGTTATGGCTCAAGCGACAAAGATAACCCTATGAATATGAAAACTTCTTATATTTCAGAAATGTATTTTCGATTATTAGGAGTAAATTTTTCAAAATTTCAAAAACCTTTACGTCAACGATGGCTCTATACATTACAAAGTGCAAGACAGTTAGTTCATCGATATAGTTCATCAGAATTATTTATACAATGGTTTGTGAAAAAACTAACTGTTCAAAAAAATATACCAAAAACTTATATTACAAAATGGCAATTGCTTCAAGATTGGCTTGCGGATCCTATTTTAAAATTACAAGTAGAATGCCTAGTGAAATTCGGAGAAAAAGTATATGAACCCATAATGGATTTTCTTGTAAAATCTGAGGAAGAACCACGGATATTACATGAAAATGGACAGCTTGAAAGATTACCACCTGGGCGTAGAGCACATGAAATGCCAGATTTTGTTGCTTTTTGGATATATAATTTAAAAAATATTGTTTCTGATCCATATAATTTTTTTGATAAAGAAATATGAGAATCTATAAACAATCTATCAAATGAAGAATTTGATAATTTTGTAAATGGATTAGTAGCTGGAATTGATTGTGCACTTGAATCATTTGAAAACTGGATGGGTATGTGGTTACACTTACCATTAAGTATATGTCGGATTGGCAGCAAAAATGGACATGAATTTGCACGAAGCTATTTATATACTATTATGGGTTTAGGTTGGAAACAAACACCAACTCTTAAAGAATTATGCTATGCCACATATTTAGAAATAGATATCAAAGAGCAACGTGAATATAATGATTTTGGCTTATATGAAGCACTTCAAGATTCTTTATTTTATAGTGAATTTGAACAATTTGCTAGCTCTAATACAGTGCCGGTCTACAAATTTCCACTACTATATGAATTTGTTAAATGCCGAATTTATTATATTGTTGTACACCAACAACAAATAGAAGGGTTGTTTAACAAATATGATTTAAAATGTCATCCCAATATGACAAATGAAACAAAACAAACAAAACTTCGACTAGCTACTGAAAATACAAGTAAAATACATATAGAAATATCAGATTTGCGGAATGAACGTAAAAAAAGAAAATTAGGAAAAGAAAATGCAGAAATAACTACAAATTATGGTGAGAACAAAGCAGATGAGCTGTTTAACGAATTATTTGAAAAAAAGAAAAGATAAAAATTGCAGATCAATTATATTTAAATAAAACATTTATCAAACAACCGTTAAAAAATCCGCAATTAGTGATCTACATTATGTACCCTGACTATGTTTTGATTAATTAGTCGATTGAATACCCTACCGTTACGTATTCGTAATAGTCACGTTTTGATCTACATAACTTAGCCAATCAAATGTGATGATCTGATATGTAAACAATATACGTCAATAATAAATAATACTGTAATATATAATGATTACTTTTTACCCTAAATTAAGCAAATGCGACGTTCCTTGAGCTGGTTTTTTGGAGATGGACCAAACATGGGCGAGGGTCGCCCGGTCTATTTAAA